GCTTCCAACAGCGAGGTCGAGCGGCGGATCAGCGAGTCGAGTTTCTTTGTAGACGAGGCACGCCCGGGAGCAGCGAGTGGACGAATGCACTGTAGTGTTGTAAATCCATTCTGCAGAAGTAAGAAAATCAAGCCAGTTAGATGAGTTCTGTTAGGTGTAAAGTCGCATATACTGCACCAGCGTGCTGTTAGTTCGTTCGGCCTGGCCGTCTGCCTCCGGATGGTTGGCGGTGGTCATATTGTGGTCAATATTGAGCCGTTGCATGAGGCTGCGCTTCCCACATGATTCCCACGTGATTAATGAATAGTTGAGCCACTCCTTCTGCTGTGACTGTGCTCGAGCAGCGAATAAAGTGAGCATATTTGCTAAGTCGACCCACCACAACATATATACTATCATGCCATCTGACGGGTGGTAAGCCCGCTATGAAATCTCTGGATATCTCCGTCCAGATCCTATCAGGAATAGGCAAACTGTGCAGGAATCCGGGTTTGAGGGTGTTTCGCGGCTTTTGCTGCTGGCAGTACGGACAAGGGAGGACGTATTCCTCGACTGAAGGGCGCATCCTAGGCCAGCAGAAGGACCTGGCAACACGCTCCAGCGTTGTACTGACCCCAGCATGACCTGCTGAAGCATGGTCATGCATTTTGCGTAAACGTTCCGCGCGAACCGAGGCTGGAACGTGCAATCTACGAACACCACGCTTCGTGTGATACCAAACGAAATCGCCGTCGGTGCTGTAGTGCTTGACTCCTCGCCCATTGTTGAGCTTAGCTAGGACTGCAGCCGCATGAGTATCTAAGGAATAAGAGGACCGGAATTNCCTCGCCCATTGTTGAGCTTAGCTAGGACTGCAGCCGCATGAGTATCTAAGGAATAAGAGGACCGGAATTTGGAAAGAAAGCGAAAATCATCACAAAGAAGTGCCTTTGCAGAACATTCTGCCTGACCTGCAGGGCGTCTGGAGAGTGCGCCGGCGACCACATATAGTTGACGGTGACGTCATACTGCGTGATCCGGGAGAGCCACCGAACAACTCTTTCGTTGTCGTAGTCCTGTAAACTCTTCGTCAGGTGTGTCAATGATTGGTGATCTGGACCGTGAAGTGCCTGCCGTACAGGTAATGCCGGCACATTTTAACGACCCACCAGACCGCATAAGGCTCCTTTTCCCTGACCGGATACTTTTGCGCCCTCTCTGTGAAACGGTGTGTGTAACAAGCGATTATTTGATGCTTTTTCGATTTAACAGCTTGCTGAGAGAGCATAACCCCGACTGGGTGTCATTGGCATCCGTCGTAAGTAAAAACGGCTCGTCAAAATCAGGGAGCGCGGGTACTGGGGATGATGTCAGGTGCCCGATGAGGCGTCGGGCAGCTTCGTCCTCGTTCTTCGTCCAAATAAACTGCTTTTCCTTCTTAAGAAGATCAGTTAGAGGGGCAACAATGAGAGCGAATCTAAGAATGAAATTGTGATAGTATGAGGCGAGCCCGAGGAACTTCTGAACGTCCGTCAGCGTGTACAGCGGTAGCGGACATCGCTGAATCGCCTCGATCTTGACGTAGTAGTTGCAGCACCCGCTGGAGGTGCTGCAGGTGCTCCTGCACATTTCGCCTGAACACAAGTATCTCATCCATGTATATAACCATCCATCCCTCGGTGATTGGCCCCAGGAAGTCGTGATTGACCTGCCGCTACAGTCAGCAGGTGCATTCACCAGGCCAAAGGGCATGCAAGTGTACTCCAGCTTACGAGTGCGGGTGTGGAACGCCGTCTTGTGCCTGTTCTCCGGATGAATGGGGATCTGCAAAAAGGANGCTTACGAGTGCGGGTGTGGAACGCCGTCTTGTGCCTGTTCTCCGGATGAATGGGGATCTGCAAAAAGGAGTCGGCGAAGTCAAATGCTGAGTATACCCACGAACCCTGTAAGCGATCAAGGATTTCGTCCAGTCTGGGCATCGGAAACTTTTGCTTCACTGTAATCTTCTTGAGGGGTTGAAAGTCGACGTACATGCGCCACCTGCCGTCCTTTTTCTTCGCCAGCATGGGATTGTGCCCCAAGGCGCTACTTGACGGCTGAACCTTGCCCTTCTTCAGAAGTTCGTCCGCCTGCCGCTCAATTTCCTCTTCAAGGTGTGCGGGTTGCCTGTACCTCGAGAAGAAGCTTGGGGCTGAGCTAGGGATGAGTTCGATGCGGTGCATAGAGCGTCCAGCGTGTGGCCTGCTCCCCGGAAGCTCTTTGTTATTGAGTACGTCTGATCTGGTAATCTCGAAGTACGTAACATTAACTATTGCAAAAGAAGCAAGTACGCCGTTCAGAGTCTCCCTCTTGCTGTCTGGGTGTTGAGCTCGCCGTCTGCTGACGGTAGCCGCCTCTAGCCCCGTGTTTAGCTGGCTTGGTGTTCACAGCCCCAATTTCCATCGATTCCAAATCGGGATCATTCCCAGGCCCGCTTTCTTCCTTTTCGGCTAAGGCTGTGGATGTGGCTATTTTCCTTTCCATTCTGCGGAAGTGCTCCGGACAGCCCCGCTATAAACCAATTATAGTAGAGCCCCGCATNTTTTCCTTTCCATTCTGCGGAAGTGCTCCGGACAGCCCCGCTATAAACCAATTATAGTAGAGCCCCGCATCCACCATAGGATGGACTTCGGTCCACCAAGGACTAGTATTTTGCAATGTAGCGCTCTACTTACTGTTTCCCTGTTTAGGCCTTCTCAGTTCCGCCATAGCCTGCTCCCTTGCGGACCTCGGAATAAACCCGCAACGTGGCGCGTCACGGAAGGCCTGCATGGACCTGATGCGCTCCGGGAACGTGCAGCCTTTGCTTAAGTGTAGCCACCATCGCTGTGCGTCCCCTTCTAACAAGGAAGAGGCCAGGAGTAGTTGGAATTCTTCTGGGGCATCTTGTAGGCGGAGGTATAAGTCTAGGGAATTAAGGAACTCCTCTACGACCTCTGCATCCCGCTGCCCATCATATCGCGTAGGACGGCACAACCGGAGGCACTCCTCTTGAACCGTTTTTGGTGGGAATGCATTTTCTCCGGGATTGGATGCCGAAATGGAGCTGGCTTCCGCTTGCTGGGGTTCCAGACCGTGCGTCCACCCCCCCTTTGTGAGTGGCTCATAGTCAACCTCAATTTTGCTGGAAAGCACGCTGAAATCGGAAGAGATTTTGTCTACGAAAGAAATGGGTTCTATTTCAACATAAATAAACGGACAAAATCAATTTTATTTATTTTGCAATTGTTTTTTTTCAGCNTGGGTTCTATTTCAACATAAATAAACGGACAAAATCAATTTTATTTATTTTGCAATTGTTTTTTTTCAGCGATGCTTGATGTGTTGTTGTTTGATGTGGGGATCGGGCCGGGGTTCGCACCTTGCCCGATGAACCATGCGGTGCTACCAAGTATAACGCTTGTTCTCTGGCCTTTATCTAGGACAGGAGTGAGCCGCAAGGTAGGTAAAGAGTTAAGCAAGAGTTTCCCAAAAGCAGCTGACCTCCTTCCCCGGTCCCTAGGTATCCTGTGAGTTGAGCTCAGCGCCTGGGTGTTGCGGGGAGGAGGCAGCCAAAAATGGGGTTGCAGCGCGCCCGGCCTCGGCTGATAGTACAAGCCAGCCCCACGCGTGCACGCAAGGAAGCTTCAGCGAAGCTTCCTTTGCTGCATGCTTTCCCTCCGAATGTACTTGTAGAACGTTTGCAAGCGTTTACACGCAACTTGCCAAAACCATGTGAAAGCTTCTGCGCTAACTCATGCAACACCACTCGTCAAAGGCCTTAGATGCCGCGTAGTTCGTGCATCCCCTGCGTGTGGTGCGTACCGTTCAAGACCCTCTTGATTGTGTTATAGAGCATCTTTCCTTAAAAAGGAGAACAGTAAACAACTCCAGCAACAAAAGGCAATCGAAGCAGCACTTAGGGCGTGTGACCCCGCCGCCGACTCGCGCTACCTCTCTAGAGAAAACAGCACGGTGCAGCTCCAACCAAAACTGTTGTGAAATCCACCGAGATATTCTGGAGAATGCAAAAGCAAATCATTAAAGAATTAAAATGAGTTGTAAAGAAGGACTGAAGAAGCCGCAGTAGACAAGCAGAGCTGCGGCGTGTTACGTATTTGGCCTCAACCAACCAGCCCCGAAATGCCGCCGCAACAGAAGCCACTTCAGAACATGCATCCCGTAGTT